ACGTTGAATATTATTTATGGTTTTAACTTTATACACAAGTGCCAAAATACTATAATCAATTTTCCTAGTGTTCGTTTCCTCGTTACTTTTGTGTTGTTTGTTTATAAGAAAATATAAAAGGTTTTATAAGATAAATGGATTAATCATATTTTTGGTTGGCTCTACGATATCTATGTGGCGGCTCGAGACATCTCGAATTAGAGAATCGAAAACATTTAGTAGTTACTAATAGTTTAAGAGTTTGCTTGATGTTAATATTTGTAATGTGCTAAGCACGAGCACTGATTGATGTCACAAGTTATGTCTGTGAATAGTAAGTAATCAGAAATCCATTATTGTAATTAAAATAGTTGAAAAAGTTCATTTGAAAATCACGAACCCATCGAGATCGTGACTCACGTGTTAAAAAGATGGAAATTAATCGTCATGCTAGTTTAAACACGGAATGACGTCATCAAATAATAAAATATGAATTATTTTCAAACTCAGCACAAAAAAGGAGCAGTTCGTTCGTGGTTAACGTTTATCGAAACGCATAAAACAAATAGATATTTTATTCAGAATTTAAGCAAAAATACAACGGTCACTGACATTAACCAATTACTATGCGTGTTTCATTCGTCGTTCTAGCTCAATTCGAAGCGATCTAAGTGAAGAAAAGTCGAAGAACGAAATTGAAGGAGTCTGTGAAGTAGAAAAAAGAAACGTAAGACCTCTATTATCCTGTCATATTTGTTATAATGAGCTTATTAGTCAATTATGTGATATAGCAGATAACAGCATGGTCGCAGTCATCATGGACCCCCTAGAAGACTTGGCATGTCCCCCCCCTAAATAATTTTTGCAATTATGCTGCGCATGCGCATAGATATTGAAGGCTAATCCTTAACCATCACATACATTCCGTGCACAGTTTTTGCTGCTTTCTCCCTGGTGGACAGTGAGTCCCGGGGAAATATCCCTTGACCTCCCCCTCCCGGCCCTCTTACTAAGCCTGAATAACATGACCTTTATATCACCAACCTTGGAAATGATGCACTCGCCCGTGAATGTTGACCTAACTGTGAAATGTTGCACTCGCCCGTGAATGTTGACCTCTTTAATATTATCTTATAAATCTAGTAAAAATTAAATATATAAAGCAAAACTATCTGAGCAGCATAAGTTATCTAAAACCTAGTGAAGCGCATCCGTTGGTATGTATAGGCACGAATCTATGTTTTTCATAAATGGTTTAAATTGAAATATAACGGTAATTAGTGGTTCAGTAGAATGTACGTGTGGTGGCGCTAGCAATAACCTGATTCTAAAGATGCAACGGTTTCATGACGAAAATAAGTCCGCCACTTAATCCCAAGATGGCCAATTTTGACACCAGAAAAATCTTGAGAAACACGGCAAAATGGGCAAGTCAATATTTTTGTTTCTCAATGCGTGTTGTCTGTAAAAAAATGTATCTTTGTACCAAATTCCATATAAATTGGTTGAAACAAGGCTAAGTAATTCACCAAAACCCTTCAAATTATGGGTTTATTTACATAAAATGACCCCATAAAATGACCAAAAATGTGCATATCAAAAATTTGTTTACGTATATGTATGGTAAAAAAAAGCATCTTTGTACCAAACCCCATGCAAATTGGCCAAAACACAGCAGAGTAATTGTCAAAAAATTGCAAAATTATGCTTTTTGTGGCATCTTGACCCCCTCCCCCCATAATTACTAAAAATAGACAAATCCGCCAGATTTGTTTGTAAATGTGTGGAACCTGTACAAAAAGTATCTTTGTACTAAATCCCATGTAAATTGGTCAAAATATGGCCGAGTAATTGACCCAAAAAACCCCAAATATGCTCTTTTTTTTCTGAGGTATGACTCCCTAAAAAGACTCAAAATAGGCACATTCGATTTTTTTTGTATGTCAATGTGTGGGGCACGTAAAAATGTTTATTTGTGCCAAATTTCATCTTGATTTCTGTGAATATGGCCGCACAGGAGTCCTAAAGATACATTTTTGGGTTATTTCACCTTTGACGCTTTAAATACTGATAAAGGATTCACTCACAAAATATTCCATGCGTATTGGACCAAGGTAAAACCCTACTAAGTTGTAAGTCATGTTCCATGAGTATGTTAAAAGCCTTTTATGTTTAATTTATTTTGGAAATTTGGGCGCAAAGTTAGAGAATGGCTAGTTGACATTACAAACTTTACTGTAATCGTGAGATTTACCTGTCATTTTTATAATACACACGACTCCAAAATGCGACAATGGGGCACGAACAATGGACCTTCAGTTTCACACTTCGACACGTTTACCACCAGACCACATTTTTTTTTAAAGCTGTCTTCAGTGAAACGTAATACTTACCATTACTTCTAAATGACATCTAAATAGCATCAAATATAGCACAATAGCTACTGGACTTGTTTACTTATTGAATTAGCACAAATATACTAGGGTGAAGGCAGCTAGTTAACCCTAATCACCGCCAACTCTTGGGCTACTCCGTTATTAACGAATAATGAGATTGATCACCACATTATAACGCCCCCGCGACTAAATGCACGAGCTTGTTCGACGACGAGTTTCTCTCGTGCGACTCGCAGATGGTGAGTCGAGTGCCCTAACTACCGGGCCAAACCAGGTTTACAGTAACCGGTAGATGAATGCAAGACAATATCCAGTTGTAGAGGCCCATGGTAGGAATGTTAAGTTATATTTAGCTTCATTCGTGAAAACTTTGATTGAAGGCAAACTTTGGAATATTAATATTATAGAACAAGCTAATGTAAAACACGTCACCAACAGATTTGTATTTTCCACCAGATCTCAAGAAACCAGACAATATTTGTAGGACTCTACACGTCTGAGAGACGTCACGTGATTAAATCTATGTATCATAAAAAAATTAAATATTTAAAACATTCATATTCTTCTGTATATCCAGCAACATCTTTCTTTTCACAATGGATGTCCTACCAACAGCTTTATTTTATCACTGGATATCTTACCAACATCTTTCTTTTACAAGTGTGAAAATAAAGATGTTGGTAAGATATCCAGTGGTAAAATAAAGATGTTGGTAAGATATCCAGTGGTAAAAGAAAGATGTTGGTAAGATAGCCAGTGGTAAAAGAAAGATGCTGGTAAGATATCCAGTGTTAAAATAAAGATGTTGGTAAGATATCCAGTGGTAAAAGAAAGATGTTGGTAAGATAGCCAGTGGTAAAATAAAGATGTTGGTAAGATATCCAGTGATAAAATAAAGATGTTGGTAAGATATCCAGTGATAAAATAAAGATGTTGGTAAGATATCCAGTGTGAAAAGAAAAATGTT